ACCCCCCCTGGCCCCCCTGACCTGCCCCCCAGAGTCCCCTGCCCCCCCGGCTCTCCTTGAGGCTGCTCCGAGTACCCAGGCCCCCCCAGCCCATCCCCTGAGCCCCCTGCTAAAGCATCTCGTCCCCCAGGCTCCCCGGAGGGACCCGATGACTCCCCAGTGTCCCCCCAGGCCCCCAAGGGTCCTGATTTCAGCCCCTCTCCCCCTTCCAGGGACTCGGGGCTCCGGCGCTCTTCAGAGGGGGTGTTGCAGCCCCCGGCCACAGGGCAGGGCATGAGGGAGCTGGGGGGCTCACTGAGCGCCCTGTCCCGTCCTGGGGACCCACCGTCAGAGCTGTCCCTGGGCAGCGAGTCAGGCTGGAGCCTTTCCCAGTCCTTTGAGTGGACGTTCCCCTCACGGGGGGCACGGCGGCTAGCATCCCCCCCCCGGTCCCCCATCCGGGAGACGGCCGACTCGGGGCTGTCCGAAGAGGGTGAGTCGGATGGGGAGGAGCCAACCCCCTGCCCCCCGTGCTCCCAGGGGGACGGCAGACCCAAAGGGCCCAGCCCCGTGGTGGCCAGTGGCCGGGTAGCAGAGGGGGCTCCGTGTCCAGGGGGTCCCGTGGCCCAGCAAGAAGCTGAGAGCTCAGCAGAAGAGGAGGAGGAGGAAGGGGAGGCAGAGCGGGATGCCACTGTGCCCCACTCCCCTCTCTGCGTGATGGAGCCCGTCCGGGACCCAGCTGAGCCCGAGCCCCCTGCCCAGCCCAGCCTCCTCACTGAGGCCACCCCACCGGATCTGGCTCCACCAGATCTGGCCACCGTGGCCGAGTTGGCCTGGGCACCGGTGGGTGACTCCCCCATAGGCCTGCAGGGCCCTGGTGGGCCGGGCCAGGCTGAAGGATCCTCGAGGGGCCCCGATCCCCACGCTGACCCGGGCTGGCTGACGGAGCTGCTGGCATCGCCCAGGGCCCATGCTGCAGGGCATGGCTCTCTGGATGCGGAAGGGCCGGAGGTAAGGGGGCGCGGGGAGCTGGGCGGCTCCGCAGTGGCAAGGGTTAATGCTGGGCCACGGTGTCGGTGTGGCGCTGGGCTCCTCTCAGGCAGGGCTGGGCCTCATCGGGCATACGTAGGGCGGTGGGACGGGTTGGGTGGAGGCTGAGCGGGAGCGTGCTGTGCCGGCAGGG